AACTGGTATAAGTGAACCTGAACTGCTGACACCTGCTTAGGATGCTGAATCAGAGTTTCTTAAAAACAAGAGAAGAGTAAAGCATAGCCTCATCCTTTCCCCAAACTGTGCTTATCTTAGCCCTCAGTTTTCAAAAGAGAAATGGGAAGAGTGCAAAGGAGTAGAGAGGCTTTCTCGGGCTGCTTGGGACAGATAAGATCGGCTCAGTACACATCAGCTCCTGTGAGAGCAAATGGAATTTGAAAACACTGGCTATGTTCTGACCTTTTCCAACTATTGTGAGAGTGAATCCAAGCCCAAGCATTGCAGATTAAGTATGCAAATACTGTATTAGAATAGCCCTGCTGGCTTCAGACAGAGGGTGCTGGTGAACTGGGTGAGAGTAAATAAGCTTCAGTGTGTTTCATAATAGAGTTCTAAGAATTAAATCTCATGGGAAGTCTATGGTGATTAGTTGTCAGTAGAGCTGTACAACATTTTCCTTATTGTTAATGACTATGGACAGAATTTTTTAAAGCTCTCTTAGTCCTTTTTATTTAATAGCAGTCTGGGTGGTCAGACACTAAAGGAAATTTAGATGGTAGGGCAGTTCTAATTCGATGGCTTATTGTTACTTTCTCTCTGCAACAATGGGAAATATCTGAGACCTGGAATGTCTTCATGCATTTAGGTTTGGATGTCACCTTTTTTGTGTTGGTGCTTTGGCTCACCCCTCAGGTCTGTGAAATATGGAAGATTTTGGAACCTCATTATACATAGAAGGCAAAAGTTCTAGTTATTTAGAGAAACTTACAAACCCATTTCATACTTTTAAACAAAGTATTTAGTTTTATAATGCAGTCTACATGTTTAAAACATAATATACTTGAAAGAAGGACCATAGTTTTCCCTTGTCAAAGACAATTAATATATTTACTAGAGAAGAGGAAAGATATGGAAAAAAAGTAGAAAATGACATACTTGTTAACAAAAGATAACTGGTTGATGCCTAACGATTTTTGAACTTTCATACCATGACATTTGTAACCTGCATGTATTTACAAAGATGGTATCCTGTTTTGTAATTGATTTGCTCACTGGACAAAGCTATGAATATCTTTCTTCCTAAATATAGAAAGGTAGTACAACCTTCAGTGGAGGCTTAGTATTCTGTTGTGCAATAGTTATTAGTTTGCACTGTAGAACTTTTAGTCCACGCTTTTACTATAGTGAATTATTGTTTGGATTTTCTGGTTGCTAAACATTTACATACTCAGCCCATCACAGAATAACTCAAGTAGGGCCTCAGGGTAAGGAAATGTGAATTTGCTGATGATAGGACTCTGAATAGTAGATTTCAGTTACATATTTCATACCCTCAAAGAATGATTAGGACTATGCTACATGGTATTTAACAGGTGCAGCTGGTTTCTTGTAATTATACCTTATACCTATTAATTTTGTTTAAGAAATGATATCTTCCCTTTGGTACATTGAGAGCTAAGTGTATTTGTTATGTTTTGGAGGAGGACCTAAAATGAGGCTGTTAGTTGGGTGAGCTGTGTAGGCCAGCCACTGAGAAGGAACTTGGTTACTGTGAAGTCTAATTCTTAAGTACCACAAAATAAACAAGGCGAGGAAGAGACTAAAAGATACCTTCAAATGAAGCTCTTCTCCCAGCCTAGAGCAGTAACAGTGAACCTTTTAGAGCTTTCCGTGGTAATAAATGACCAGCTGTGAAACAGGTGCCAGAGGTTTGCCCCACTGGCCTAGGGTCTCAGCAGCCCAAGTGGACCAGAAGGCAGATTCATGATCAGCAAGCCCTTCTGAAATCTCAGCAGAATGGGGCAGTGTGTACTTAGTCTGAAGAGCCATTCTCCTAAGAAATGGTTTTATTTCCCAGACAGAATTGGACTGTGGGCTGTGAGCGCTGCATGTACAGTAATTTAAAATGAAGGACAGTTGAAAGGTTATCTTCTAAAACTTCCAGAACTGTAGATTGAAAGAAATATATAGGTTCTCCAGCTGAACCTTTGCCATTGTTTCTTCAAATAGACATGATTTTATGAACTGTTTATTTAAGTCTTCAAATGCTAAATCAGAAAATATATGGCTTATATTGATTTCAAGAAAAAAAATTTAGGAGCTATCTAAACAGAGAAGAAGTAAACACCTTTTTCATAAGTGTTTTGGTGGCCTGTATTGCCTTAAAAGGTCAGTTGGATTATTGTTAACTTTTGTGGAAAGTTCTGCTGGATGTGAAGACCTTTACCTGAACTTGAAGCTTTTACAAAATCATTCAGTCTGTTTCATAGTAAAATAATACCTTGATTTGTACTAATCCTTAACAAACTACCCATATGTAGCTTTGTTATTATAAAGTCTACTAAATGTTTCATGCCCAGCTAATTTTTATTTTGCATTGATTACAAACTATTAGAGTCAAATTATGTATATATTTCATACTATGTTTGTTGTAGAGCTTTGCTGTGTGAAACAGGAAGTGTAGCTCACTCGCTGGCTGTTGTAGCTCACTCGCTGGCTGTTGGCCTGCACATGCACTGCTTCCTACTTCTGCTTGTCAGTAGCAGCATCTGGAAACAAACGCTTTCTTGCCCTGGCTGTTTCCGCACTGTTGTGCCAGCTGTGTTTGTTCGGTTTTTGGTCCGTCCTACCTTAAAAAGTCTTGAACTCTGAATTCTTAATTTTAAAATCCATTCAAGGCATGAATAAATTACACTCTGCAATATTTCTTTAAATTTTTAGTTTATTACTTTGTTTGCCAAAGCACTGTGAGGAGCATGTAAACTCTTTACTAATGAAATAAGTGAACTAATAAATTATCCCCTTACAGGAAACTGAGGCATAGGGTTAGGGTTCAGGTTAATGATAAAGTAATTGGAGCTTGAAATCTCTCAGCAATCGCACATGAATAGTTGTGTAGTATATTTTGTGGTACTCTAATTCTTGTGTTCTCTTTACAATTCTGATGGTAGGTTTTTGTTATCATAGCCATGCTTTATATATAGATAATACTAGACGACAACAGATAGGTTCTTTTTAGGAATTGTAAACAAATATTTCTAAATTCCTTAGTGATTTTGCCTGGTTAAATCTTTTTTTGTATTAGTACAATAATTTGCTTTAACTTATTTTCTGTTTTTAAAACCCGTCTTTTATAATTAAGTAAAAACAGTGCATGCCATGTTATGGCATATTATCTAAAAGGCTTTTATGTTAAAGACTAAAATGTCTTTCTTAAGAAACAGTCAAATTAATTTAGTGCATTTATTTTTTACACAGTTACCAGGCAGAATGCCTTGCTGAACCTACAGTGAGTGTGTACCTTTTAACCTAAAGAAACACCACTGGATTGTAATTTCTCCTTTTTGTTTCTCCTTCCTACATTTTCAGTTCTGTGAGGCTGTTTTTCAGTGGGAAATCCCTGGAAAGCATCTTAGGTCTTGGCCTAGCCCAAGAGCCAGCTCTTCATTTTAGGCAACTCACAATCTCACCAGACTTAAACGCTGACACATATAGAAGACCAGGCATTCTCATACCTCTTTTGTCTCTCAAACGTTGTTTTATCTTGGAAAGAAGAATTTACATCTTCTATTCAGCCACTACTTCTTCCCAGCTGTGAGAATTTAGCTACTAATTTTGGCTATATCTGATTTTTAACAGTCTCCCAGTAGGTAATTCAAATAGGTTTTTCTGGGCAATGGTAGTTTACCTGTCCCTTTTCAAAACTTCCCACTTCTATCTAAATCAAGTGTGTGAGCCCAGGACAGAGTGACTTTCTTAGCTCTATAGTTCTGCAGTATGGGCTAGGTTCTGTGAACGGTGAGTTAGTAGTGACTTCTGTTCAGTCCACTTCCACAGAAATGAGCTTTTCCCCTTTTGTGTTGTTTCAGCATCAGCTGCAGGAAAATTACACATGCCTTTAATTTCAAATTTCAAATCTTGCTTAAAATGAAGTCTTATTTTTTTCCTGAAATGGGGACTGTGTCTTTGCTCAATGTGTCAGAATGAGTGGGCTTTAGAAAAGCCATTTTAGAAGTGGCTGTTTCAGTAAATACTTATGAAATGTCACTATGGACCCATTTGAGTATTAGAGAGAGAATAGAGCGTTACAAAAAGGAGATGTACATTTTGAAGAAATTCATAACTTTGCATCTGTTTGAGTGATTACATCCTCATAGAGGCAGGAGCCTGTAGATAAGGTGTTGCTAAGCCTGTTTTTCAGAGAAAACCAAGATTACTAGGGGCTAGAGAAATTTGTCAACAAGGCACATGGCTTTTTCATTTGAGTGAGGGCCCCTGACTCCCACAGCTGCCACCCTTTCTCCTACTCTGTGCACCAAGGAGTCTGTTGTGTGTCACAGGTGTCAGTTGTTGGTGATGTGGGGAAAGAACTTTTAAATAGAGTGGCTAGGAAAAACTTTCAGAGAAGCTCCACCAGAGTAAGGGAAGGCTCTGGGTTTGTTGCTGGAAATTAAATGGAGAATTCAAGCTCTCAGGAGGCATAGAGGTTCTCATGGAAAATGGTTTTGTTATCTGAGTTAATTGTGAGATAGAACCTGTGATTGATCTTGCTTTCTCTGAAGAGTTGTCTTCACAGGGTTAGTGTTGCTTTACTCAGAGAACAGGGTGGTGCTGGCCTGACACTACGATGTAATATTCTTAGCTCAAGGGAATAAATCTGAAATTTAAGCACAAAGAGAATCACTGGTCAGTGTTGAGCAGCGTTCAAAGCATTATTACACTATTCTTAGTAAATATACTACTAAAGATGCTGTATAGTCTGTCACATGTGACCTTATCCATTTTCAGATCCAATTTAGAGCTCTCAGAGAATACTAATAAACAGGGTATCACTGGTTCCTAAAATAAACACGTTTGAGAACCATGGATTTTCCCCGTAACTGGCTTTCCATTTCCACTACTCATGCTCAGACTTTACATTTTGAAGAGGCAGATTTGGAAGTCTGGTGTCCTGACCTTTTCCTTTGCTTCCACAGAAGGAAGAATCTGGTTCAAAAATGAGGTAAATTAATGCTTGGACACGCAGAATTGTGGACAGCTACGTGATGTTTTAAAAATCTGCCCTGACCATCTTGCCAAAGGAGCCCCCACTCATAAGGCCCAACAGGATGAACCAATCCAGGAGGGACAGTGTCCTGCCCTGTAGGACCAGGGACTGCTGACCTCCCAGAGCAAGTGGTGACTGCAGTGTTGTCTGCCAATACAATGAAGGAAGTGGTTTATTGGTCACCCAAGAAGGTGGCAGACTGGCTCCTGGAGAATGCTATGCCAGAATACTGTGAACCTATGGAACATTTCACAGGCCAAGACTTGATCAGCCTAACTCAAGAGGATTTTACAAAACCCCCTTTGTGCCGAGTCTCCTCAGACAATGGGCAGCGGCTCTTGGACATGATAGAGACCCTGAAAATGGAGCACCACATGGAAGCACACAAGAATGGCCACGCTAATGGGCACCTCAGCATTGGTGTAGACATCTCCAACCCTGATGGCAGCTTCAGCATCAAGACAAAACCCAATGGTATGCCAAATGGGTATAGGAAAGAGATGATACAGATTCCCATGCCGGAGCTAGAACGCTCCCAGTACCCCATGGAGTGGGGCAAGACTTTTCTGGCCTTTCTTTATGCACTTTCCTGTTTTGTCCTCACCACAGTGATGATCTCGGTCGTCCATGAACGAGTACCTCCTAAGGAGGTGCAGCCTCCACTACCGGACACATTTTTTGACCATTTTAACCGGGTGCAGTGGGCTTTTTCTATTTGTGAAATTAACGGCATGATCCTTGTAGGACTCTGGTTACTTCAGTGGCTGCTCTTAAAATACAAGTAAGTAAAGTAAAAATTTGTAAGATTTGCTGATGGTGATATTTACACTCCAAAGTCTAATGGTCATTTGGAAATGAAAGTTACAGAGCGGTTAGAATCAAACCACAGCAGTTACTTTTTCTTTCCTTTTTAAACTACCTGTGCTGTTTAGCAAAGTGTTGTTTGTTGCCTGTTTTGTATGAGATTCAGGCACCCGTGGTGCCTACCGGGCTCAACACCCTAAGTTGAATCCCCAGGATTCCCCCCCCCCAAAAAAAAAAATGAGGTTTGTACAGAATGGCAACTAAGACTATAAGAGATGATGTTCTGTTTTTATTTAATAAGAAAAGAAAAACAATCAGAGAGTACAAGCAGTTGAATAACAGACTAACTACCTAGCCTTGATTGGTATGATTAACTTGTTAAATAAATTTTGGCAGCAGGCCCAAGTTCTGTGCCTGGTGGAAAGCTTTTCCTACACAGATGCAGGCATGGAAGCTTAGTGATACATATTGAAAGATGGATGCTTCAAAGTCAGAGTTTAGAACAGAGTGGATTAGGTTGTTGTGAAATTTACACCCTCAGGGTGTGACTTGGGTAGGTGGATGTAGATGACCTCTTTGGATTTGCACCTAGAGTATAAACCCTTGAAGCAGTATGTGGTGGTCCACCCGAGTTTCTCAGGGTGGTAAGTAGGCACCTGCATTTAGGCTTAGGTGGCTTGAGACTAGTTTTCAAGCCTCAAACTCTGAACTCAACAGGGAGCCCCTGAAGCTAGCTATTTACATGAGTAAATTAAACACTTGTCCTTGGTTTTATGAGTAAGTTCCTTTGCCACTGGAGTCTGATTCTTTTCTAAATGAAACATCTTTATGGCTTCCCTGCATAGGGCTTGGGAGTCAGTTTGGTAAAGAACTCAGTTTCTCTGTTTCATGATCACAGTGTGGTTGAATATTAAAGGAATCATCTGAAATCAAGAAACCAGAATGTGGATGGGGAGTTTATGCTGAATTTCTCTGACAGAAATGATGAGTTTTTTCCTGTTATGTTTATAGAGTCTGCTTATTATATATCTGTAAGAGGAAATGAAGACAGTTCCTGACTGTTAGCCAGGAAAGGACCTTTTAACTTGGGTAGAGAATGTTATTGAAGTTTACTTGGGACCGGTGAGTGCTCTGTCTTACAGGAATTTGAACTGCAACTGCCGGTCTAGGCTGTTTATGATTTGGTGGAAGGCCTGCTTATGTTTCTTTAGTTTTGAGACACTATTAATAATAGAAATAGGTTCTAGAAATAAGAGATACAGTTCACTAAGTGCATTCTTTTGGCTACCCAACTTCAAGTCCTACCTTAAAACGTTTTCACTTTTCAGCTTTATTTTTGACTCTAATTGGGGAGAAAATAACCCACCCTAGTGCTTTTCCTTTATAACTCAGATTATTTCTGGGTTGTTGTTTTTTTCCTGATGTTTGTTTTCTGTGGGTTCATTTACTTGGTTTTCGCCAAAATTCTTATGTGCTTGCAAATAACTTACTGCCCCAGAAAGTAACTTAGACCTTCATAAAACTGTGACTTTGAAGTAATTATATTCTTGCTCTAAGGAAGAGACCTAAGTATAAGACTGATTTCTTTAAAATATTCTCTCTCTCTCTCTCTCTCTCTCTCTCTCTCTCTCTCTCTTTCTCTCTCTCTCTCTTCCCACCTGGAACTTTTCCTGATATCTGCTTATCTTTAAACTTTTTAATTTCATGTTTCCTTGGTGCTTATTGCCAATACTCTAGTCATTTAAATATTTAAATTGTTTAAAGCTAGCTGTGGTGGTGCATGCCTGTAACCCCAGGAGGCCATCGTGGGCTATCTAGTGAGTTCTGGCCAGCCTGAACCATATAGTGAAACCCTGCCTCAAAAAAAAAAAAAAAAAAAAAAAATAGAGATAGGCAGACAGACGTAAGACAGTTAATTTTTGTTTTATGCAAAATTAATGCCAAGCTGGAATTTGGCACCTGGAATCCAGTGCTAGCCTGATATGCTAGGCGGCTTGGATGAATCTCTCATCCAAGGGATGTCGTTTTTCTCACAGAGACAATGAGGGCTTCTCAGCCTAGCTAGTCTGTCATCTCACATGACTATGTTATTTGATTCTAACGGTGTTGGATGGGCCCTTATGGGCCATGAAAGCTGGCTGCAGCCCTAAGCATCCCTCACCCCTGTGCTAGTGGGCTACATCCGGAGTTTCTCCTTGTGGCCTCTTTTCAGTAATGTGGCTCACAGGCATCTAAGAGGTAGAAAGATACAGACTTGTATGTGGAGCAGCAGGTGTTGGTGAAATGCATTAGGACCTTTGTGGTGTCAGAGTCGCCTCATGTCTAGTTCATTGCCTGTTGCAATATAGCAGTTTTATTTGTCCAACATTTTCAAGAAATGGATCCTTATGGTTATAGGATATTCTTTCTAACAGTTAACAAAACCTCTTGCTCTTTTGGTGTTTGACTCAAGTTTTGACTTCCTTCTTGTTTGCACTATAGAGGATGGTTTGTTAATTGAGAAGTGAGACCACTGGAATTTGACCAACATCCTCTTTTAACCAAATCTTGGGGGAAAATCTTGATGTGGAGTTCGTTTGTTTCTATCCTTATGTTGTATACAATTGTCCTTTACTGTTGAACATAGGTTTTGTTTTATGGTACTTTATTTTCACTCTTCATATCTCCCTGTTGTGTCTGAACATGTTTATGCTTATATATACATATATCCAGTGGCTTTCCATCACATTCATATTGACATGTGAAAAGTAATAGTAATGGTTGTCCTTGAACATTTTTTATTTTTAAAATTATAAATAATGTCTCATTTAGAATTGTACCTTCAAACCTCTGACTAGGAAAAATGCCTGGGAAATTTCTTCAGTTGTGTCAAACTTCACTGCAAAGCAGGTATCCCATGTTTTAGGAAAGCATGGTTAAGAATATATTAAATTGAAAGATTTGATAAAACCTGAAGAGTTAAGGACTTTTTATACATGGCTAAGTTGGGGCTAACACAGTGGCCATCACATGTGTGTGATAAGTGTAGTCCTGTTCTGTTGGGACCCCCAACAGGGAAGAAAACCATGGAATGGGACCATAGAATTGCTAAGTCAGAGGTTTTCTAGGCACCAGAGAAATCTAATGATTTTTAGTGTTGTTATCAGGGTACCTCAGACGCAACCTGTTAAAAACCAGATTTGCTGTTTTTTTCTTCAAATTTAGTCCTTCTCTTCTCTGGCCAGTAGCCCTTCCTACATACCTTGGAGAATTACTCATTTTCTTTTATTGGTTCTAAGTCTGTCAGGTTTGTTTTTTGTTTTTTGTTTTTTTGTTTGTTTTTTTTTTCTTTTTTCTTGAGGCAGGGCCTCACTGTGTAGCCCAGGCTGCTCTTGAACTTAAGAATCTTCCTGCATCAACCCATGAGTGCAGGAATTATAAGCATGTACCACTTCACCCAGCTCTGCCTATCAGTTATGACACCAAATATATCACCTTTTTCCATTCCTATGGTGCTCCATAGCAGGCTTCAATAAGAACAGGCTCCTTAACCTGAAGCTCAGTTTTCTTCATAATCTGCCCTCCAGTTTGCCTTACTGAACCTCTAGCTCCTCTACAGTTTTCTTTGCATACTTTAAGCTGATGTCATTGTCCATTCTAGTAGTTCTGTGCATATGTCCACTGCTACATTTTAAGTTCCCTAAAGAAAAAAACTAGATCCTATTGTATTTGCCTTTAAATCCTGATCTCTGATACGGACTGGCACATAGAAACACACAGAAAGTGGTCCTTTAAAGTTCATTCACAGAACCATGTTCTGTGAGCAGCTTACTATGTGCCAGGCACTTGTGGACCTTGAATGAGCAAAGGACTCCCAAGTGCTCATGACAGTTCTGTTTGGGGAAGGGTGAGGCGGGCAGTAAACAAATGAACATGTGACATCAGCTGCTGTAGCAGGAACAGTGTAGCAGCATGAAGGCCAGGGACTTCTGGAAGTAATGAAATGGGTGCTCTTCTAGGTGGAGTAATTGGAAAGGCCACTAATATTGTGACAGTTGAGCAGACACCTGAATCCAATGTAGGAGAATCCCATGCAGGGGTCCACATTCCAGGCAGGGGGCCAAGAAGGTCAGAGCTCCTGACACTTCTTGAAGAGCACCCTGAGGCCTCTACAACCCAGGGGGTCTGAGGGAGTCCACAGGATGTGGTTGTGGCTCAGGATGAGTACTGAGGAGAAGAGATCAAAGTTGTTTCCTGTGTGGGAAGTCCTAAGAGGACAGTGCTGTGAGCACTCTTGTGGTTTAAAAGAATGACTCCAGCTGCAGGATAGAGAATAGATAAATGGGAAGATTAGTTTAGATACCATTACAGTGGTCCACGTATGGGCTTAGATAAAATATTTATCCAAATGGTAAACTTTATCCTGGCTGCTAGAAAGGGCAGTGCTTTTCCTGGAAGTCATGGATCCTGCTGCTGTTACAGCTGCCCGTCTTTCGGAACTTAGGTCTGGCTGTGGATGCAGTGTCTTTCTCATACAAGGTGTTTGCATTTCTCTAGGTTTTCTATAGAATGTAATGGGGAAACAGAATTTACAACTTTGAGTGCTCTCACAGCTTTACTTGATTTTTTTTTTTTTTTTCAGAGCAAAGTCAAGTCGTGTATATACTGATATGTTTTGGGATATATGGCTTTTGCATCAGAAAAACTGCCAAAGGAAATAGTATCAATCAGTTAGAGATGGGGCAACAGATTATGTAAGAATGAATTAAATGTTATACAGGGCATATTAGTCTGCTGATAGTGAAAAGATATGAAGGAAACAGAAAAGGAGACACTGGACATTTGGGTTATAAGTAGAAAGGAGAGAGCTTAGTGAGGAGGTATTTTAGGAAGGGGTAGAGCATTCTGTCACAAACAATTGTGTGGAATTAGAGCAAGATTGGTGAGGTGGAAATGCTCCCTGGGTGTGTTCTTTGAAAACTGATCCCATGCCAGAAG